CTTGGATTTTTCCGTCCTCTCACAGTTTAATGATCCCCTGGCCAGTTATCACTAGTGAGGAGGAGGAGCTCTTTGGTCTCCGTTGCTGACAGCTCCTGGGATTTTCAATTTTCATAATTTCCATCTTCGCATTTATTATCCTAATAGGTATAGACTCCAATTTTCTAAAATCTCTGGTTTCCAACTCCCCTTACTTCCCTTCCAACAATACTAGTGTCGATGATTGAAGCCTTAAGATATGAGCATGTTCAGTTTTCTGCTCTGCGTTTGGCTGGTGTGCATGCGGAATTGAGATTTGGGATCTTCGGGGTTCTGCTTGCGCGCGTGAGATACGGCGCCAAATGCTACAGGAGGATTTGTTTCCCTGTTTGATCCCCGCTGAACATGGTCGGTCTCGTCGATGCCCCATATCGGTCCCAAAAGACCAAGCAGTGACTGGACGGACGTGCCGACTATGACAGTTTCTTGCAGTGGAAGTGGCGGTATTTTTTCAACACTTTCCCATGGAAGGTTTTTTAAGAATCTTTGTACTCCGTTTAGTATCTAGAATGCCTCTACAGTTAAGCCTCGTGGGCCATTTCAGGCATTTCATCACCCCCGGTTGTTCTACACGTCAAGACTCGGACCTAGTTCAGAAAGGGAGATGTGTCTTCAAGGGGAATCGAGGTCTGGTCTTAACTTCTGTGATTGGAGAGCACTACTGTATTTTGACAGCGAATAGCTTGTCAGAGAGTTGGGCCTTGTAAATTGACAATGTACGATCTCTCCCCGCTCTATACCATTCTATCTACCTTTGCCAAACGTTCAGAGCCTAGTTCGATGAGAAGCATATGAATGAGCATAGAGGAGCGTGACTTATTATGTTCATCATTGTTTACTCCTGTGAGAAAGAGACCTGCTCAATGGCTACATCAGATCCTTGGTATAAGAAATTACAAACAATTAATGACATATGCTTCAAACCTGTTGTGCAGATAATGATCTGACAACCCATAATCTATCCTGATATTTCCACCACGTGGGCCCGGAACATGAATCGTCACTCATTATCATAGACAAATCAGCTTCTCAAGGTTCATCCCATTTTTTCTTCCCTGCCTCCTCTTTCTTCCCATACCAACCTCCCACCTCCTCCTTGACACCCAGCTTGACCATGCTCATAATAATCTCAAACACAACCTACGCAGCCGCGAGAGCAGTAGTCTCCGCAGCGGTATCGTAGCTAGGTGAGACCTCCACAATATCCGCACCGACAAGGTTCAACTTCTTGATTCCTCGCAGGATCCTAATCAGCTCCCGCGTAGTCCACCCACCAGGCTCCGGCGTGCCAACATCGTCAATCTCATCCGCATGGATTCGAAGGAAGCCTTGTCCCGGCCCTGGATTTGAATAATCGCCATCATCCAGCCCGGTCAGACGGGTGCGGAGACCTGCGTGTGCGGAGCTGGTGCTGGAAATCAACCCTTCATGGCTGGGCCGTGTGGAAAAAGCTACCGTGGTTGAAGCGGGATTGATCAGATGTCCAATACGCCGAGTACCGGACGGGGTTCCAGGTATCAGGTGCGCATCGAAGTGCAACACGGTGATCGGTTTTCCGTAAACGGTAGGTGATGCTGTGATC